TGATATCAAAGTTGTCGCAATATTTGACTTTTTAAAAAATAGAAACTAATTTAATGAAAATAAAAATAACCACCCATTACATGATCATCATTCAATCACATAATAAAAATTAATTTGGTAACAAAATAAATAAATAAACATCTAAAAGATATATCGATTTTACATAATTTTATCTTTAGTGGGTAGAAATTATTTTTAAAAATTCAAAAATATTTTTTTAAAATTTGTTTTTATTAAATTAGTTTATATTTTATCAAATTGATTATTTTGCCTTGAAATTAAGCAATGGTATCTTCAATTGTCCTTATTTGGAATAAGATTCAAAATTCAAAGTCAAATGTGTTATAATTGAAAAGTCAATGACAAAAGTGACACAATCCTCAAACTAAAGTGACCGTTAGTGTAATTTGCCAAAAAAAAAAAAAATTAAAAACGTGTGTCACAAGATATACATGTATAAAACTACTGGTCTATGTGCCGTTTTGGGAAGAAGCCGAAAACGCAGTGTTTGGCAACAACAACAAAAACGCAGTACCATGCAAAAAGCAAAACCCACCATTTGGGAAAATCCCAAAATGCAGCTTCTTCATTTACCAAACTACCCTCTGAAAAAATTATTATTAATTAATTCAAAATAGTGTTGACATGCCAAAGGGCAAAATTGTAAATCTAATTAAAAAGTAAGGATATTTTAGTCATTTTAAAGTGATGTGACACTTTTACAAAATATTAAATCAAAAATCAAAAAAGTCAACTTTTTACCAACTTTCCAAATCACTTTAAAAAAAGCCAAAAAGCTTGGTAAAAATCCAAAAGTCAGCTTTTTACCAACTTCCCAAAACACCCCAATCAATTTATTTCTCTCTCTCTCTCTTTAATTTAAAAAATTGTAGATGAAAATTTAATTTTTTTTAATCATATCTAAATTACATCTAATTTGAGATTTAAAAGAAGAATAGATATAAAATTTACTTATTTGTAATTTAAAAATATTTCAATAGAAAATATGAATGGAATTTTTAGCTATATTTAATTGGACAAACTCTAACATAGAATAAGTTAAAACTAAAAAATATATAAGATTAAATGTATTTTTATTTTATCACAAATATAATCTTTGTAGTTTATTTTTTTATTTTTTTTATCTTTACTATTAAATTATGATATCTATTTCTTATTGAGAACTTATAATATACAATTAATGACATAATAACTACAAAAAAATAAAAATAAATAAATAATCTAATTAAATAGTTAAAATTTACGAAACCAAACTAAGCTTTAAGTCCCATCAAATGGGGTTGGCTAAATAAATTCTTCTTCTCCACTCGATTTTATCAACGGTCATTTGGTTAGTCAAATTAAGGAGATTTATATCTCTATTTACTACACTCGTCCATATCAATCTAGGTTTGTCCCTTTCCCTAATACTTTCATCTATCGTCACAGTATCAAATATCTTCACTATTGCCTCTATTGGCTTTTGTTGTATACGACTAAACTATCTTAATCTATCATCTTACTACGTATCTTCTATCAGTCATACTTCTACCTATTCACTAAATAGCTAAAATTTAATTAATTTAAAATTATATTTGATATATTTGAAACAAATTTTATGCTATTATTTAATTTTTAAATTAATTGTTAATTATTTGTTTAAGCTCATGCATAACACGGGGTGACATGGTTGTTACTAGTTAAAAGAAAATATGGAATAATGAATGTGAAATAGAAAAAATAAAAGAAAAAATAGAGGTTTAATTTCATAAAAGTTAAATAACACATAAACAAACAGGTAGATAAATAGATCGATTTTTAGAGATAATATAATTTTGGGTAAATTATAAATACATTCCTTAAAATTTACTTAAAGTATAGAGTATTTCCTGTGATTTGAAAAATTACAAATACCCTATTGTCATAATTTTTTATTTAATAAAATTAATTAAAAAAATAAAATTCATAATTGTTCTCATATGCAATAATAAAATTACTTAAATTATTAATTGAAACATATTTATAATATTATTAAAAATTGTTGATTAATTATAAATACATTCCTTAAAATTTACTTAAAGTATAGAGTATTTCCTGTGATTTGAAAAATTACAAATACCCTATTGTCATAATTTTTTATTTAATAAAATTAATTAAAAAAATAAAATTTATAATTGTTCTCATATGCAATAATAAAATTACTTAAATTATTAATCGAAACATATTTATAATATTATTAAAAATTGTTGATTTACTTGATACTTTATTAATTTTCAGAATCATATGAGTCGATTCGTATTTTAATCAAATTTCAGAAGATGTATTTGTAATTTATTCTATAAATTTTAAAATTATGTTATTCTTTTAAATTCGGAAGAATAAAATCTAAGGTTATTGTCCCAAAACTTTTGAAACGAATTTAAAACCAAGATTTTGATGGGATGGGCCACCGGCCCACCGAGCGCTGCCGTATCGATCAGGTCCATACATGGTCCAAGAAGGCCGAATCGACAGCACATTGTTGACTCAGCAAGCAGAGAAGTTATTGGCTGGTGTAGCGAGCGACACCGCGTGATGCTCTATGGTCATATTTGATTTACAAGACTAATAGTAAGGTATTAATAATTATATCAAATTAGTGTGGTATTTACTATGTAATTAGATTAATAGGATAAATTATCTATTGAATTAATAATCTCACCTCAAACTCATCACTAATAATCTTACAAATATGAGGGGATATGATGATTTGTGATTAGTTAGACATAGGGGTTGTTTGGGGTGTCCCAAATAAGTGCATTTTTTATTTTTTAGACTAAAAAGTTGAGAAAAAAAATATAGACTTTTTGTTAACTTTTTGACTTTTTATGAAAAAATATGTATTAAAAATTTGTATAAATAAGTGTGTAGGAGAAGTTAGTGAAGTAGGGCGTACAGGTTTGGCAATTCAGTTGGCTGGTTAGGAGATGAGAAAAGATTGCCTCGTTTTCGGGCTTTAATTGGACGGTGTTGTTCGGCTTGTGGGTAGGGTTGTGCATAATACCGCCAAAACCGTCGAAACCGTCAAAACCGTACCGAACCGTACCGCCAAGGCAAATTCGTTATTATTTGCCAATCGAACCGCCGGTTTTGGGTAAGAAAAATGGCAAATTCTAGTGGCACTTTTATCAATCCACCGGTTTCTATTTTTTTTCAAAACCGCACCGACCCGCACCGCTATTAAATCATATTTTATAAGATTCTAAAAATTATTTTTTACTTAAGTGTGCTTGTTGTTCTATACCTTAGAATATAGTGTTACAGTACTGCTTGAGGGGAATTCAAGATGTCAATAATCCAAAATAAAGTTGGATTTCAATTCACTTTTCAAGATGCTTAACATCACGGTATCTCTCGTTTTTTTTTTATTCTTTGATTTAAGTTTTGTAATTTGAATTATATTTTTTATAAACCGCCAATCCGCCCGAACTACCAAGGCAAATCCGCTATTATTTGCCAACCGAACCGTCGGTTTTTGATAAGAAAAATGGCAAATCCTAGTGACACTTTTATTAATCCGCCACCCGCCATACGGTTTCTATCTTTCTCTCAAACCGCACCGACCCGCACCACGCATACCCCTACTTGTGGGGCCCACCACGAGTCCCGTTTTTCTAATTGGAACCCTTCAATGTGTAGAACTCATCGAGTACTATATGTTTGTAAAACATCATGTTGATTGGATATCGATAGCTATCTGATTGTGTTAGTTTTTTTGTCAACTGTTAACTATAACATCATATATTTTTTATACAAAAATGATTTGATCACGTAGTTAGCAATATCCGATAGACGTAATTTTTTACAAACATATAGTACTAGACGAGTTCTACATATTGACGGTTCGGATTATCAAAACGGGACCAATGGTGGCCCCCACGGGCCCAACTTTACCATTAAACTTAGTGAATATACATAGGTAGCCTTTTTTTTGCCCTTTCACTGTTTTTACTTTCACGTCAGTACCTAGAGTGGCGTGAAATTGATTTGTATTTTAATATTATGTATATTGATTTTTTTATATTTTTTTGGGTGAATAGTAATAACTTTTAAATTTTTTTGATAACTTTTAACTTTTTTTAAATATCCCAAACCAACCCATAAAATGTTCGTGGTAATCGACAAAATAAGAGGGAACACGTTCAACACGATGATTTGTGATTAGTTAGACATAAAGTCCTGTGATGTTCATGTATCAACCAATAATTTTTTGATAAATTATACTGGCACCGTTGAAGTTTTTGTTTAATATAAATATCTTTTTACATTTGAAAAATTACATCATCTCCCTGAGGTTTATAATCTCATTACAACTTATTCTTGGATTGTTGGTGTCATTTCTTAAATTTTTTTAAATGATCATCCTATTATTTTTCTTATAATTTTTTTTATTCCTATCATTATGACTGCATGCTACAACTTGATATTATTAAATTATATCTGAACATATTCTTATTGAGTGATGATATATAAACATAAATTTTATATAGAATTTTCATACACAATGATATAATTTAATAGTGACATTTCACTTTAAAATAAAACATTCATAAATATGATTTATATTTTTTTGTAGGTATATTTAAAAAATAGAAAAGCTTAAAATATTTAAAAAATTTAGAAAAAATAAAAAGTAAATTTTTGTATGAGTTAAACTAAAAAAAATGATTATTATTTATTTTAAAATATTATAAATAAAATATTTATATTATTTTTTATATATAAATGTCAAAAATAAATATGTCATTTTAATTTAATAAAAATAAGTGTAATTTTTTAAATATAAAAAAATCTAAGTAATTTACTCATAATTTTTTCAGCAAGTGCACGGTCACGTGACGTACCTTATCTGAAGTGACGGGACACTGTGAGGGCGAGTCGCGAAGTAACAAGAAGCACGAAATATTTGTGAGCGAAAAAGCCCAAGGGTGTCTCTCTACTGTCCCCACATCCTCATTACGACGCCGTCTGCCTCCGCTTTCCCACCATTAACTTCACGAAACTGGGAAAAGAGGGAAAGCCCAAGGCAAAGCTAGAGAGAGAGGATAGAGAGAGGGGGGGCCTCTCGTCTCTGTTATCTCCTTTTATTTGATCATCGATTCGAGATACGAAGCTCCTCCGCTAGGGTTTTGTGGACATGGCGGAGCAGAAGAACAGGTGGAACTGGGAGGTGTCGGGGTTCGAGCCGAGGAAAGACGACGATCGCAAGCCTTCTTCTTCTTCTTCTTCACCTCTTCTCAGGCGCTACTCGATCTCTTCGTCCTCTGTTCTACCACATTCCGAGCTCTCCAAGCACGCCATGGCTTCTAAGCTCCAGAGATTGGTAGATAAAGTTAAAGTACGCTTCTTCTTAATTTTCTTTTCACTATCTTTTCCTTTTACTCGACTGTATTATTGAAATGATAGGTTCTGATATGACTAGTTTTTGGTTGTTTGGTTAAATTTGGATTTGTTAGCATCAACTATTGTAGTTGGGACTGTTATGGAGGTTTTTTGTGGCAATGCCTGTTGATAGTCATGTGAAATGCTTGTGATGGTAGTCAGTGGCAGATTTGAATTGCTACAGGAGTTTGAAAGTTTAGATCTTTGGATTGGTCTCTTACCAGCTCTGTTGTGACTTGAGCAAACTCTATTGAGATATTAGATGTAGATGTTTATGGTGCTTTTACTAGGTGGGGACTGTGGTAAGTAAAAAGGGACTGGAAAGTAAGATGGGTAATCATTGGGATGGCTTGAAATTCAAATTGTTGTGCGTGTGTGCAGGCAAAGTTTTTGTAGAACATCCATCATGATTGTCCGTAATTATTACTGGACAATAGCAGATAGTTGGGTTTAGTGGAAACAAACTTATATGCCTACTTATTTTTTTGTTTTTATGGGAATCTATCCAAAAAGATTTAAGTGAAGATCATTGCCTGTACATCTCTACATGGCAACAGTTACAAGTTGAAATATATGCAAGTCTACATATATACATACATACTATAATGCACAGACATGGACATGCAGAGACAAGTTTAGTAAATATAATTTTATTTATTTATTATACATCTAAAATTTTAAAATTGGTTCCTATAAAATTACAATAATAATAAAATTAATAAACACATTAGCTAATTTTTTTTAATAAAAATTGATTTTTTTTCAAATAAAAATAATTTGTTTTATAAATTTTAGGTTTAACAAAAACATAGATATCAAAAAAAAGAAAAAAAGAAAAAAAGAGAAAAGGAAGGGAAAGAAAAGACATAAGAAAAAAAAGGGAAAAAAAAGGGAGGGGAGAGACAAAAAAAAAAGGAAAAAGAAAAAATGAAAGAGGGAGAGAAAAAAAGTAAAGAAAAATGAAAGAGGGGAGAGAGACAGAAAATGGAGAAATGAAATTAGAAGAGGGAGGAGGAGGGGGAGAAGAAAACAAAGAGAAGAAGAAGACAAAAGACGAAGAGAAAAACTGGAAAAATTCCCCAAAAAATAAGAAGGGGACACGTAAGGAAGAGTGTCAGACACGTGTCCACAGTGTGTCTGACGCGTGTTCGTGTTCGACATGTGTCTGACACTCGTACGCAGGCCTTAGGGAGGTATCCGTACTTCATAGCATACATATATATACATATGCATGTAACATAGGCCCGTACGTGCGTGCAGAGAGAGAGAGAGAGAGAGAGAGTAGGAATTGAGATTTGTATTTTGCCAAACCTTCATTTGATTGGATGTGCCATCCATTATTGTTATGCGCAATTTGCGAAATTAAGTTTGTTGAACATGGCTAACTATCTGATCTTACTCACATTTCTCTAAATGAATATGAAAAGTATAGCTCTAACAAGTTGTTGACTTGTGAAAAGCATGGGGAGCCAAAATATGTTTTATAGACAATAATAGTTGAACAAAAATATTTTCTAGGCAAAATGTTGTAGAAAAATTTATATAACCACAATGGAGAAGAATGTAGACTCTACCTTTATTTAATTAATCACTCTATACGCCTTATCTTTTTTATGGCATCTGAATTTCAACTAAAATTGGATCACAACATGATATCATGTTTTCTTCTAGCTCTTGGAGTTAATATATTACCATCTTTTCCAACCACAAACGAGCCCTAAAAACCAAAGTAGCTTATGATGCAAACAACATGCACTTTACAAACATGTGATCCATTTTGTTTATCCATATTGAATTGTAGTATATGCATACATCAACATATTTATATACATTTATTAGTATGAGCAAAAAAGCATAAAAGGAAATATGGGGAATTTTTGTTACCCATCAAAGTTGAATATGAAATTGTATCTAATTTCTCTAGACCCACCCCCCCCCATTTTGTTTATCCATATTGAATTGTAGTATATGCATACATCAACATATTTATATACATTTATTAGTATGAGCAAAAAAGCATAAAAGGAAATATGGGGAATTTTTTTGCCAAGCTTTTTTACTTGGAACGCTGATCGTTCTGGTACGAAGAACGGGAACAAGAACATGAACATGGTATGCTATATGATCTGAATTGTGGTGTGATGGGGGTAAACTTGTATAAACCCCATTATTAAACATGAAGTACTTCTAAACGTGAGAACACATTTATAACTATTATTTTTCAAATTAATTATGTGAAAAAATGCATTTCAAATTAATTTTGTTTTATTTCTTTATAAAAAAATGTTAAGAAAATAAATAGGAAAAATTTTATAGATTGCTTTGGATCTAAATTTACTATTGTGGAATGAAGGTCTAGTTGTTGTAGAATGTGCATTCCAAAATCACTAGGGTATTATTAGCGTTTCTAAGTGACCTAGGATGGGTGTCTGATTGGAAAACATAAAAAGGAAAAATAAACATTTGAACTTGAGAAATAGAAACAATATGATAGGATAATGAAGAATTTAATAATTTTCTATGTTTTATTATTAATTTATTCTTGGGTATTGAATGATCAAAACCTATTAAACCTGGCGAGGAAAGTGAAAAAAGCAAACGAGGTGGCCTACGGTCTAAGCCATTGGATTGGTGAGAGAATTGATTAAAGAAAGCAGTCTTAAGAAGATTAAATGGGAGAATTAAGCAATGATGGCATGCGCTAAGTTTGAATATGGTATTTATTTGAAAATAAGCTAGGAGGAGTTGTGGACCATGCCATTAATATTTTGTCCATTTTCAAATGGTTTGCCTCTTAATTTTAGCGAAAGATTGTTGTAAATGAGTATTCAATATATTTCCGAACTTATCAAGTATCAAAATTAATTGTGGATTTGTTGAAAAAAATGTTATAATATGTAGCTATTTCATTGGTGCAACTTGATATTTAAACAATGGACTCAAGTTGCTTGACAAAAGATGGGTTTTATGAAATGTTGTCTAGGTGTGTAAAAATAAGTCTTACATGAATAACAATTCTTTTAGGTGTAATTTAGTTATTTCTTACACACTTGCATATATTTTTTCTGGTTACTTTTGTCCTTTTGCTGATATGCATATCAGTCTAGCTGAAATGTGATGGTTGGGGAATTATATACTGTTGCTACATGTGTCCACCTTCCATGTGTCTCAACCATTACATTGCTATATTATCACATTCTCCATATAATTTGATTCCACTTGCCAGCCTTGTGAGGTCACACCTGGATTGACCAAACATCGCTACGTGTGTTGGCCAAGGCACATGCTCGGTTCTCTCATACTTGAGGTAGTTCTCCACCCGAGCGTGCCTATCTCCACATGTAACATGTGCTCGACTCTCAGTGCGATCTCGGCTGAGTGGTTCTTCACCCAAGTGAACATTTACTATGAGTATGGTGTGCTTAATGACCACTTTGTTCTTCTTACAACAATGAAACATATTAGAGTAAGATGTCAAGGACAATGTGGAAGCTAGATACAGTCTGTGTGACAAGATACCCATGTATGGCAGAAGGACTCTGAATATAGCAGATTCTGTTTATTACTTATTAAGCCTTGTACCTTTTGAAGACAGTTAAGACTCTAATTTATCAACAACAAAAAAAAAAAGGACAGTTAAGACTCTAAAGCTACAAGTTTATCTCAAAAATATTTTCAATATCTTAGGCATAGTGGCTTCCTATGTGAAGTTATTTTATATGCTATCAATAGTATTTTGTGCAACCTATTGGTTATTTTGCTTATGGTAGGTTTTTTAATTTTATAGTAATTTTTTGTTTTTCAATTGTATTAACGTTTTTGGATAGCTTGCTAGAGAAGATTACTTGGAGTTGAGACAAGAAGCAAGTGATCTCCAGGAGTATTCAAATGCAAAGCTTGATCGAGTTACGCGGTATTTGGGTGTTCTTGCTGATAAGACTCGTAAGTTAGGTAAGAAATGAGTTTGGTCGGATGGTCGAAATGAAAGACATTAGAAAGATATTATTCCATCATTTACTGCTTTAATTCTTATATATGTTATCACCTATGATGTTTCAAACCAGCCACTTTCCTCTTTGCAACTTAAAGAATAAGAAGTATGCAATATCGATAATCAATCTTTTGTGAGCTTTTGTATTTAATTGTGTTCAATCACAAATTTGGGGAACTCAAGCAAAAAAAAAAAATTCTCCATTTCATCTGCAGTTTTATAAGGTGTTTGTTTCTAGTCTTTTTCTTAGTAATCTGTTGAAAGTAGTTTGCATTTGGACTGTAATTATGGTTCTATTTATGCTCCCCATTTAAAAAAAAAATAAAATATTTTTGGTTTATTTATGCTCCCCGTTTTGTGGGCAACCTTAACATGACTTCAATTTGTGAAGCTTTGAAAGGCCTCACTACCTTCTCTGGAATATAACAATCTTTGTCTTAAATGGAATAGTGTTGCTTGATTATGTTGAAACTATTTTATTTTAGCAATGCATAATATCATCTACTTTCAGATCAGGCTGCCTTTGAAACTGAAGCTAGAATTTCTCCACTGATAAATGAGAAGAAAAGGTTGTTCAATGACTTACTGATTGCCAAAGGTACTCATGATTTCTGTAAGTTTTACCCTTTTCAAGATATTCTTTTTATTTCTCTCTTTAATATACACAGAAACCTGCACACACAAATTGAAGAATAAAGAAACTTAGGGCTTGTTTGGTTTGTATTTGATAAACATGTTTTGAGATAAAAAGTACGAAAATTTGTTTGGTTTGGTTTTTTTTCAAAAGATGTTTTGAAAAATTATTTTGAGAGAGAGTTTTGAAAAAAGTGATTGATTTGATGTGTATGAGAGAGAGATTTGTTTGGAAAACTTGTAAACCAAACAAGTTTTGAAAAAAAAAAATAGAAAAATTTGTTTGATTTGATTACTTTTGAAAACTTATTTGTAGAGAATTTTCCTAAAATTTTTTGAGAAACACAAACCAAACAAGGCCTTATTCTTTACCTTTTGCCCCTCCAAAAATTTCAACAATGCATCCATAAACGCAGGTCAGTTTTTGTTTGTGTATCAAAATTGGATTGGCAATTTTAAAAATTTATTTTTTTGATAATTCCAGGAAACATAAAGGTGTTTTGTCGTACAAGACCAATATTTGAGGATGAAGGCCCTTCTGTTGTTGAATTTCCCGATGATTGTACCATTCGCATCCCTACTGGTGTTGATGATGTTGCCAACCCAAAAAAGGATTTTGAATTTGACAGGGTTTATGGGCCTCATGTTGGACAAGGTGCCATGAAGTTTGCTTGGTCTATATCATTTTTTTAAAACTTACATTGTCTTTAATTTTAGTCGTGTGGAAGTATGCTATCTAACTTACATTTACATTTTGTATGTACAGCTGAACTTTTCAGTGATGTTCAGCCCTTTGTGCAGTCAGCTTTGGATGGATATAATGTTTCTGTATTTGCTTATGGGCAAACCGAATCAGGAAAGACGCACACTATGGTCTCTTTCGACCTCCATCTCTTTTATTATATATATATTTATAATAATTATAGATTATGCTTGCATTTTTATTACTTTAGAGAGCTACATATACATCAGATCTTACACATTCAATTTGAGGACTGCTCTACTTTTAAGATTCATATCTTCAATATATTATAATAGGCTGTCTAATGGGGCAAGGTAGTTTTGTTGAATTTTAAGATATGCTCAATGCTTTGGGTAACTGTTTGATTTATTCATTAATATGCTAATTCTATGTGCTCCCACCTTTTGCAGGTAGGATCTAGCCATGATCGTGGCTTATATGCCCGAAGTTTTGAGGAGCTATTTGATTTGTCCAACTCGGACACAACCTCTATTTCTCGATTTAATTTTTCTGTTACAGTCTTCGAAATCTACAATGAGCAGGTTCCGTTACTACATCTTAGTATTGTGCATACCTTTCTTCCATTGCTCTCATAATTTCGTTACGTTCTGTAATTTCTATTTAGTTTGGCTTTTGTTTTCTTCTGCTAAACATTATTACCATTACCTAATGCTTGTGCTCCTCAATATTTTTCTAGATAAGGGATTTGCTTTCAGAATCAAGGAACATCCTACCGAAGATCAGGATGGGGTCACTGGATTCATTCATAGAGCTGGCACAGGAAAAAGTTGATAATCCATTGGATTTCTCAAAAGTCTTGAAAGTGGCATTTCAGAATCGGGGAACTGATTTATTGAAGTTCAACTTCTCTCATCTGTATGTTCTGTATTCTGTACCTCACATAATCTGTCTATGGCTTTGCTGTTCCATACATTCTGATTTGTTTTTTTGTCAATTTTATTATTGCCATCCTTCCTGCGTAATAGATGTTTGGGAAATATGGGTGAGGCTTATTCCCTCTAGAAGATGAAGAAGTTCATCACTAGATAAGACCATCATTTTATTATTATTATTTTTTAAAATTTCTATAATGCCAGGACCAGGTTTCCTGTAGCTACAAATACAATCCTAATTTGTCTCATTGTTGGAATATTCACTACTTATCCTCATAGACACTCATATAACTTTAGTATGATTTGGTTTCTCGAAAGCAATCCACTCATTTATGTTAAACTAAACATTGAACTTACATAAAAAAATTGCTGGAAATTATCATGATTTAGTGAGTTTTAGTAGCCAAAATATGTTTCAAAATCATCCTTAAAAGGTTTTCATTCATTCCAAGAGTTTGATTCTTGACATATCATAATATGGCTGAACTTGTGTAGTTAAATTTGAGTTACAAATAGATTTATGTTCTGATTGGTGCCCATTAGGTCATGGGCTATGGTGGAGATACAAGAGTCTGAATGATATTTGTTCATGATCGTATTTTTCTATAAAATTAGCCCAAATTTTTGAGTTTAACTTTGGTTAGATGCCTCATTCCTCCCCGTTGAGTTCTTTCCAAAAGTTCCAAATTAAAATGCACAAACATGGACATAGGACACGTGATTTCAAAAAAATTGAGACATGGATACGGTGGGACATGGCAATAAATATAATTTTAAATATATTTTTGTTTATTTTTTATGGATTATATATTAATTACTTAAATCTAACCAAAAATAATAAACATTCAACGTCCAACATCCATAAAAAGCACTAAAAAAGAGGGGGGAAATAACTAGTTGGCGTGTCCTTGCCATGTCCTCTGAAAAAATTAATTAAATAAACCCTGCTGTGTTGTCGTGTTTGACACTGCTACAATACCCGTTTTGAAATGTCGTTGCTTCATAGGTTCCAATAGCCACTAGCATTTTTGCCTTGTCAACATTTAAAAATCAGTACCTTTTCATTCTTCAAGTCCTATTTGTTTATCTACTGTGTGGCAAGTCAGCTTCATTAATGAGTTTAACTATGCAATCTGCATGTCTTCCAGTTCACCAAGGTGATCAGTTAACTTTTTACTATTGATTCCCATTTCTATTAATAACTGTGTACGACAAGGGTGGTAATGAGCTTCTATAATGTATATTGCAAGGGTGGAGTATACTCTTAGTAACAGACCTCAAAATAGAAAAAGCTATGTCGATGACCTTTGGGAATAACAATTAGTTTACAAGGTTTGTAGAAACTAGTAGTCCCTACTCGTACCAATGAGCAATTAATATAATGAATTAACAGTTGCTGATTTATTCTTTATCATCAAAACGTAAACCAATTATAAATTTATAAATCTGCCGTATGATTATAACATAGAGAAACTGGTATATAAGATTCCAGAATCGTCCTTTTGATTGGAAAGTATATCATAAGTCATAACAAGGTCGAGGGAGGTTTAGATTTAGCAGCATCTGCTCTGGACAAAGCTCCTCTCTGTCAAGATGGCTTTAAAGACTTCCTTTCCAAACAGTTTTTGGTCCTCAATAATCTCCAACAAGTATGGGTTACAGTATAATTGTTGGAATCCTCATCCTATTTGCAGGGAGACTCACCGAGTCTGCAAATTTGTTTGTTACACATCTGTCTTCTTTCCCCATGCCATATTTTGTTTGACTCAGGCATTAGGTTAATATTGGTGGATTCTCCAGATTGGTATCACTTCTTTTTCTACTCAATTTACTTTGCTTTGTGCTGTGAAGATTTCCTATTATCTTCACCTCATTGGGAATCACTGATTCAGAAGCAGTGGAGATCTTGTATCTTATGTAGTTATGAAGTTCTCTATGCAATCAATACCCATTTCTAATGGCAGCATGTGGGTACTTTTGGACCCTTTGGCATAATTTTTTTGCAAGTCTCCTTTTCTAGGAAAATAGTGGGGGTTTTCCTTGTAAATTGGTCTGGATATGACTCAGAAGAGAGAGATTCATGGGTTTTTCTGCTAGCATTTGCCTCGTGCAAAAACAGAAAGTGACATGATTGAGCGCATTTTGTTCCATATCCTTGGCACCACTGGATCTCTTTATATATATGTATACACTAAGAAGCACGGACATGAACATAGACTTGGACACGGATGCGGACACAGGACATGGTGATTTAAAATGAAAGAAAAGGGACATAGACATGGTAATAAATATTTTTATTTGCTATGTAGGTTAATATTACATCTACAAACGAATTAACAAAAACTAATGCTAATCCGATATTTAAAAAAAAAAAATACCACTTTTAAATTAACACTTACTGTTTATACCTTTTTTATAGATGATCTATCAAGTATTTTAATCTAAGAAAAAAGTAATAAACATTCAACATCCATCAAAAGTACTAAAGCAAAGGGGGAAAAATACTAGTTGGTGTGTCCCCGATGTGTCCGTAGAGTGTCCCTAACGTGTCCCCACTGTGTCCTTGATGTGTCCTCTAAAAACAAATTAAATTAAATAAAGGGACACACCATGTGGCATGTACCATATGTGTCCCCGTGTTCGACACTGTCGGTGCTTCGTAGTATATATATACACATACATATTTGCATTCCTTTTTTGAGTTTCAGGATATCATAAAGAAAGCTGCAGAAGAAATATTCTCTCTTAGCTACCATTTAGTTGATACCTTGTATTGAAATATCTCTAAGGTGTTGAAGAGGACAAGTTTACGATTTACGTGTCTTTCTAGATATTCCTTCTAGGCTACCATTTATGTGACTCTCTACTGGAGTCTTGCAGTTTCAGCCTGAATGACACATCTGTTGTTGGATTGCCACTTCAGCTTCATCTCCCTCCTCTTCTTTCCCTTCTGATTTTTGGAATTTTCCACCTAGAATTGTAGGTAAATATCAATCTAGATGGAGATTGGAGGTTCTTTGAGGTACCATCGGACCACAATGGGTCTTTTTGGTGTAGTTTATTGTAAGTTAAAAGTTGGTAATCACAAAGCAAAATCCAAATGCATCACTTCCCCAACTTAATCGACTTTTTTTTTCCAGCTTATTTAAGCAATTTTTGCCTAATAAGCTATAAGTAGATGTTATACCAAATAGTTTGGAAATAAAATAAGGTATAAGCAACTCATATAAGCTGCACCAAACAGCTGCAATGGGAATATTGATGTTTTGCATTTTATACCTGCTGGCAGTTCTCATGCTTGTGTTCTGGAAAGTGACTCCACGAATGCGATTCATAGGATTAATAGCACTTTCATTGGTTCTTGAATGTATTCCTACTTGATTATAGTTTTCAGACCTTGTGAAGGATGAGAACATTCTTGTTTTTTGGGAGCTTAGGACATCTGATATGGAAACCAACCTCTGTTCTTAAAGAAGAGGTTTTGTTATGGTTTAATGTGTTGATTGTTGGCATGTAGTGTGCCTGTGTAATATTGGACTTGAAGGGTTTGGCTTTCATCTGCCCTTTTAGAGCTAATTACAGTGGCCATTTCATACTTGTTGCTTTGAAGGTAATACCAGATGTATAATTTGTTTATTTTTGTTAGCATGTTTATGCATTTATAGATATCTTGAGTGTTTGCCACTATCATACATATCATTTTGTAGTAACATTTTTTGTAAGTTTTTTTGATGATGCGTAGTTTTTATCTTGGCTCTCCTCTTCTCAGGATCGTCTCAATTCATATATACTATAACAATCTGATCAGTGGAGAAAATTTATATAGCAAACTTTCTTTAGTTGACCTGGCTGGAAGTGCAAATTTGAATCTGGAAGATGATGGTGGGGAGCGTGCTACGGACTTGCTGCATGTCATGAAATCACTTTCAGCGTACGTTGTGCATTCATCAACTTTATTAATCTACCAATATTATCTGTATAGAGCACTTAACCTCTCTGCTTGTTGATGAAGTAGAGTTGATCTCTTTTAAGTATTATGGAAAACTGGTGACAAGTTAATAATTTATTAACTCAACTTAAAACCTTACCTGCCACTGTACTAGTTTCTTTTGTTTGGAGTGCATTGGTGGGACAAGCATCAGGTGATGGCATTTTGGTTTTCATTTTACTAAATAGTTTGCTCTTTCCATTCATTGCTGTGCAAACTAGATTCCCTATAGTTTTCTTGGGGAATAAGTTACCACTTAGTTGCACTTTGAGCCCTAAGATTTACTACTAAGAACTGCTTATTTTTTGTTTCATGAGAGTGTTTGTGGGTATGGAGGCTATATTTGATTCATTTCTTTCCTACATTCATAGCTTCAAATATTTTGGCTAGCAGGACTAATGTTTTCCTAATTCATCCTGCACAATGTTTTGACTGCTTATGTGTTATATGTAGGTTGGGAGATGTTTTAAGTTCGTTGACATCCAAGAAGGACGCTGTTCCTTACGAAAATTCAATGCTAACAAAAGTACTTGTGGACTCACTAGGTACTCAGTTCTGCTCTCTATTTGGTTGACATAATAATGCCATTTCACGAGTTATTGATTTGTTACAGGGTTGGTGCTCTTTTTTCTTTCTTTCTTTCTTTCTTTGAAGATGCTAACTAAACAGTTTATTTTTATGTATTCTTATTTCTGTAGGTGGAAGCTCGAAAACTTTGATGATTGTCAATGTGTGTCCCAATCTTTCAAATTTGTCTGAGACATTGTCATCTCTCAATTTTTCTGCCAGAGCACGGAATGCTGTACTAAGCCTTGGAAATAGAGATACAATTAAGAAATGGAGAGATGTTGTAAGTTTTGCTGAATTCATTCGATCCTCTTGATTTTTCTCTACATAGTAAACTGATGGGGGATGCCGAGCAATAGGTCAACCTTTTGCTTCTGACTGTAGGTTTTACTTTGTTTAATTTCTGTCTCCAGTCACATACAAATTTAAGCCAGTACTTTGTTGGGCTTGACATGGAGCCTGCCTGGGTGTCATCATAGTTGGCCATCTAGTTGAAGGCTATGTTACATGGACTCTTCAAAATAAATTAAATATCCATGTTAGACACCTGACCCTTGGACAAGGGTGTGGGATGTGTCCGATACTTTCCATCGGACATTTCTTATATATTTGTATTTAACACTACCTTTATATTGTTGTATAATTGCTATAAAATAAATAAAATGTCCTTTTGATATTGTATGTTACATTATATATAACATTATTTTATGTCACATAAATATAAAAATATAGGCTCCGTTTGGTGGAGCTTTCAAAATATAATTCCACTCACTTTTGAGTGTGATGTTCAGTATTTTCAAAAATTAATTCCACACTCACTTTTGAAAACTCTTTGTAAGGCGGGAAAATTTGGACTAACTGGTCGTTCCTCGGACGTCCGGCCGGTTGACCGGAGTAGTGCTATTTTTTTTATTATTATATATTTTTTTTACAATGGGCACCTGGTATTTTTTATATTTTAAATAAAAAAAAATTCTGAATTTAAATTTTTTTTATGAGTTTTGAATAGAATTTTGAGTTGTTTGTTTGGTTATAAGTTGTAAGTTTTTATATCAAATATTACATGTCACGTCAAAAATTCCCCACTCAATTCGAAACTCATTTACCGAACAAATTTTTCACACTCAAATCATAATTCCAAAACTCACAAACTCAAAATACAACTTTATTCTCAAATCATATTTAGAAAACTCTACCAAAAGCAACCATGGCCTTTTTTTGCCAAGTTCTCGTATCCTTGAATTTGAGGTTTGATGGGTCTGACCTCTAGATATGCACCCACACTTGACACTTGTGCCCGCGTCAATGTAACACTAGGAATGGATATGTGATTCCCACGCCATTAGTTTTCCCCCTTAACGTGCTTAGATCACAAATATGTTAACAGGAAGTCATATGTTCGTCAATGCATCAATGGGAACTATATTTACATAATATACATTTCTGTTCTGTCTGCTGAGTTCTGGTTTGAAATTTAAATTGTAGGCAAATGATGCACGCAAGGATTTGTATGAAAAAGAGAAGGAAGTTAATGATCTGAAGCAAGAGGTTTTGGCCCTAAAGCAAGCATTGAAAGACGCAAATGATCAATGTGTTCTACTTTTTAATGAAGTTCAAAAAGCATGGAAAGTTTCTTTTACGTTGCAGTCAGACTTAAAGGTTTTGTGACTTCATGAATTTTGCAAAGTCTTTTCAGTACTTATAACTTCTTTTTCACACCTGGCATAGTTTTTTAATATAAATTCCCTTACTCTTATTTCGGTCACTTATCTACTACTAATACCCTTTGCTGCAAAGAATTGTCTGTTTCTGTAGATATTCTGCATACCATTTTAACGTGGTGGCTGATATGTTTAGATTTATCAAATTCAGTAAATTTCTTCCTATTTATGATTCATAAGTGGAGGTTGGCTTGGATGGGTGAAATTTTTGTGGTGCACTTGTTAAAGATGTTAGTTTTTTTTTTTTTTTTTTGTTGTTGTTGGAAATATTGGAATATTCCATGATTTTTTTATCTTCTTGTTTAAATAGGTAAGATGGTGGCAAAAGAACAAGTCTTTAATTTATAGATTTCATATACTCTGTGACGGAGGTATAATATTCAAGTGGGCGATGTGTCCCACTCCAAAAAAAGAAAGAAAAAAAATTAAAGCAGAAAATTCTATCTCAGAACTTTTGTACCTGACATACAAAAGGAGAGAATTGATTTTATATGGTTGTTTTGTTCTTATCATGTTCAAGAAATAGTTGTGATATCTACTCTCTGTATATTATGACTGATAAGTTGTTTGATGCTTTTTAGTTGAGTCCACTGACACTTCCTTGATGTAACAGTAAACTGCACTGTGGCTTTTCTTTTTGTTCTGTAAAGATTATATAGGTGTGGCAGCACATGGGTTAGCTTGTTCCTAACTGCTGCCATTCTCTCATTTGGTGCAGTCAGAAAACATTATGCTTGCAGAGAAACATAAGATAGAAAAGGATCAAAATGCTCAGCTTAGAAACCAAGTTGCACAACTATTACAGTCAGAGCAAGACCAAAAACTGCAGATACAACAACACGATTCAACAATTCAAACTTTGCAGGTTGGTCATATGTTGGCTTTATTTTTCACGCCTGTTGTAATCAGATCTTTATGCATGCTCTTGAAATTTTCCATGCATTATTGCTACATTTGTATTTTTAAAAAAAAACTTATTAGCCCTGCGTGTTTTTTTGCTCAATTGTTATATCTCCAACATTTTTCATCAACTATAAAAAGGTTACTACCCTCAACAATTGTAGAAATGATGGAATGGACTTGTGTCACGATTCTAGGATGTTGATATTTGATGAAAAATTGAAACTCATGCTATGCCAATTTATGGTAAGAAATGTATTCAAAATGAAAAAAGTAAACTTCTTAGAAGTTTTAGAATGAACAGTGTGTGCATGTTTTCTTATGCTGGAAAAGATTATATGATTTTATCAAGAGCTCAACAGAAGATATCAATTGCCGATGGAATCTAAGGCCACTGCAACTTCCTTGGGTGGAGGAATAGGATTCGGGTGCTCAAAAGGATATTAACGATAAACTTATTTCACTCAGTGTGTTATTCCATTAGCATTATAGGTTTTGTTTAAAGGTTGTAAGAATCGAGGCAAATGTTAAAGGAATAGCTGTTAAAGCTGCTCCAATTTTCTAATTATCCGATGTGCTTTCAGCTCATTTTCTTTTGTAGTGGCATTGTTATCAAGATTGCCAAAATTTTGTTGGAAATTAAATGGGAAATTTTCAGAAAAAAATGGAGTTTGGGGCAAATAATTGCAAATAGGCAGGGAAGGGTAGACGAACAGAGAGGAGGGAAGAGAGAGAGAGGCTGGGCAAATGAGTACAAATATATAATGTTTTTGTAGAATTTTTTAAATTCCCACCCAAACTGAAACTATTTTTTTTATTTTTCATCTATTTTTTTTAATTTCCTTTACTTGCCTTTTTTTTTGAATTTATATTTTTCCAATTTAAAACTTAGGCCGTTGATGGTGGTGGGTAATTTTTTTTATTTTTTGTCCTTTTGTGGTTGATTTTTAGAATCTTATAATGTCAACGATAAGAGATATAATTATTTTCTTTAAATGCTGAAGCATGTATTTCCTCAATTGTTTGAGAGAGACATTTTTGATTGTTGGCTATGCAATGAATTTATTACATGCCATTTTATAAAGTTTATAGCTTACTGTTTTTGGCTTACAGAAAACATTAAGCATGTTTATGTTTATTTTTGGTAAATACAAAAATAAAAAATGTTTGGTACGCACATGTTTTAAAACTTGTTTTGAAAACAAATGAAAAGGGCAGCCCGTGGGAGGTAGTTGTCGACGGTTGAAGTTGGTAGTTGGAGGTGGTTGTTAGACGCCGAATGTGGTAGCTGAAGTGGTTGCCATTGATGGGAGGTGGTTGGTGGTGGCTGAAGTTGGTTGCTGGATGCGAGAGGTGTTGGCTAAAAGTAATTGTTGATCATCGAAGATAGTGGCCGGCTGACCCCCTGAGGTGGTGGTGGAAGGTGGTTTCTAACAAGAGGTGGTGGCCAATTGCGGAAGGTGGTTGTCGAAGGAGGTCATTGGTGATGGTAGCTGGTGGTTGTGATGAGCATTGGGTGGGGTCAGAAGAAGTGAGAGAAAGAGGAAGAAATGAAATTTTCTTTTTCTTCTAAACAAGTGAAATAAACTTTTCTTGGTTACAAAATCTAGCAAATTGTTTACAGTTTTTTGAAACGAAAATGATACCAAATGAGTTTCAGATATTCAAAAGTTCTGTAAATATAAATTGAAAATTGTAAACACAAAAGTTACCAAACAAGCTTTGGTGTTCTCCTTTTGGGTTTTCCTCAAAAGTCTAAGCTCTAAAAGCTCCAGAAGTACTTCAGATACCAAGTATGGAAAGGTGTTTAATAACTTCCCCACCAGGACCTTCCCAACCTAGAGTAGCTAGGTGAGGAAGTAAAATTAATCCTTGTTCATACTTAGGCTTCTCTGGTAAAAAATGAGCCACTTCAAATGGGTTCATTGCTCCAACCCATAATACAATTAATCCGGCATGGGCTACATTGACATCTAAGGGGCACCCTTTTTTTTTTATTTAAACTAACACATTGTACCTTACTGATTGGAGGAGTAACATCAGTTTGTACAAATGATTAGTATGTGCCCTGTGTTTATCTGGACAGTGGCAGGTCATTGAACTTCTAATTAGTACAAACATGAATATGCGACTCAACAGAAATACGACACTGACATGCTGATTTTCATAAATGTAGGACACGATATGTTTGGGACATGTTATAAATTTATTATATGTCACATATATGAATACTTTATTCAAAGGTGATGAAAAAAGTAATTTTAACACTAATTAAAATTTGAAAGGCATAAGTTAGAATGTAAAATGAAGAAATTTAGGGTTAGGATTTAGGAGGAGGAAGAAGAAGAAGATGAGAGGAGAGAAAGAACTTTCATATATTTTAGACCTGTCCGCTCAACTCTACATTAGCAAAATATATATACAAACCCTAACATTGCAATATGACCATCGTACCCTCAACTTAAGTAAATATTAATAGAATAACAGGAGAACATAAAATGACTATTCTAACACTCCCCTCAAGTTGGAGCATAGAGATCAAACATGCCTAGTTTGACGGATAACCGATCAAACGAAGATCAAGCCAAAGCTTTGGTGAGAATATCACTCAATTGATCTTTAGAACAAACATAAGGAGTCACAAGTTGCTTCTGCAGTAAAAGACCACGAATAAAATGGAAATCAACCTCTATATGTTTGGTTCGTTCATGAAACGTTGGATTATTGGCAATGAAGATAACAGCCTGATTATCACAAGACATGTTTATAGGAGTGGGAAGAGAAAAGCCAAAATCTTGGAGAAGAGACTGAACCTAGAGCATTTCAAAAGCAGTATGAGCCGTGGCACGGTACTCAGCTTCTACTCTAGAACGAGCAACAACAGCCTGTTTCTTGCTTCGCCAAGTAACAAGATTATCCCCAACAAAGGTATAATAGCCCGAGGTGAATGGCGGTTAGTCCTATTACCAGCTCAATCAGTATCATTGAAGCCAGTGACAGACAACGAGGAAGATGGGTGATAAAGCAAACCACGACTAGGGGCACTCTTCAAGTATTGCAAGATACGTTACTCAACAACAAAATGGGGTTGGCGGGGAGCGTACATAAACTGACTGACCACACCCACGACATATGTATTATCGAGGTGAGTGATAGTGAGATAGATTAACTTTCCAACCAACAGACGATAACATCCAATATCAGGAAACAAGTCCTCGGATTCACCATCAAGTTTGACACTAGGATCCATATGAGTATCATTGGGGCAAGTGCCTAAAGACCCGTCTCAGTGAGTAGATCAAGAGCATACTTTCATTGGGAGAGAAACAAGCCTTGAGAGGAGCAAGCAACTTCAATCCCAAGAAAATATCAAAGATGACCCTAGTTTTTGGTGTGAAATTGTTGGCCCAAATACTACTTCAAATTAGCAATACTGGTGGAGTCACCCCTAAAAATGATTATGTCATCCACATAGACAATAACAACAATACACCTAATAGATGAGTATTGAACAAAGACAAAGTGATCAAAAGTGGAACGGTGAAACCCATAGGCAAACACAACCAAAGTGATCAAACTAGGCACAAGGGGACTGCTTGAGACCATACATGGCCTTCCGCAATCGGCAAACAAGATGCTCATGACCAGGAACCACATAACCATGGGGGTAATCCATATAGACCTCGTTTTGGAGATCGCTATGAAGAAAGACATTCTTGATATCAAGTTGATATAAAGGCCAAGTGTTACTAACGGCAACAAAGAGAAGGATTCGAACAGAGTTGAGACGAGCCACAAGAGAGAAAGTCTCCAAGTAATCGGCACCATAGGTTTGTGTGTAGCCTTTGGCTACCAGGCGAGCCTTAAGGCGCTCAATAGTCTCATCAGGAAGATATTTAATAGTATAAATCCACCAACAACGCACAATAGATTTGCCAGAACGGAGTGAGCTAAGTTTCCACGTTTGATTCTTATGCAGGGCATGCATTTTCTCATCCATTTCATGTTTCCAACTAGAGATGAACATAGCATGCATAAACTGACTAACCACACCCACGACATACATAATATCGGGGCGAGTGATAGTGAGATAGATTAACTTGCCAACCAACCGACGATAGCGACCAATATCAGGAAACAAGTCCTTGGATTCACCATTAAGTTTGACACTAGGATCTATGGGAGTATCACTAGGGTGACTGCTTAAGAGCCCAGTTTCAGTGAGAAGATCAAGAACATATGTTCGTTGGGAGAGAAACAAGCCTCGAGAGAAGTGAGCAACTTTAATCCCAAGAAAATACCAAAGATGACTCAAGTTTTTGGTGTGAAATTGTTGGCCCAAATACTACTTCAAATTAGCAATACAAGTGGAGTCACTTCCAGAAATGATTATGTCATCCACATAGACAATAAGAACAACACACCTAGAAGATGAGTATTGAACAAAGACAGAGTGATCAAAAATGGAACGGCGAAACCCATAGGAAAAACACAACGGAAGTGATCAAACCAAGCACGAGGGGATTGCTTGAGACAAACATGGCCTTCTGCAATCAACAAACAAGATGCTCAAGATCGGGAACCACATAACCATGGGCTAATCCATATAGACCTCTTGGAGATCGTCATGAATAAAGACATTCTTGATATCAAGTTGATATAAAGGCCATGGCTTACTACCAACAACAGAGAGAAGGATCCGAACAGAGTTAAGACGAGCCACGTGAGAGAAAGCCTCCAGGTAATCAACACCATAGGTTTGTGTGTAGCCTTTGGCTACCAGGCGAGCCATATGGCGCTCAACAATCTCATCAAGAAGATACTTAACAATATAAATCTATCGACAACGCACAATAGATTTGCCAGAAGGGAGTGGGCTAAGTTTCCACGTCTGATTCTTATGCAGGGCATGCATTTCCTCATCCATTGCATGTTTCCAACCAGAGATGGACATAGTTTGTTGAT